TGCTCAGTTAAAATGAAAACTTTTTAGTTTTTAGGCTTCTTTTTCTATTTCGTCAATTTGCAGTATCATTACTATTCCCCCCTGTTCAATACTTTGTATATGCAACATCATTACTATTTTTAGTTTTCTGAACTTGATTATTCTTAAAACAGATTGATAAATAGCAGTAATTGATCTTGAACAATATTAAACTGGAATAGTAGTTGATAGACTAAAAAAGGCTAATAAAGGGGTTCTATCTCTATTTTGTTTTTGTTGTTTTTTTGAGCCAGCAGAGGTCAATAGAATTATTGACAATTCTATAGAGTAGTTGATACCACTAAAATTTGTTTTGAAAGGAACACCATTCTAATTATCAATCGGTAGCTCTAATACACTCAAATAAAGAACTGATTGGGAAAGTTGATTATCAAACCAACGAGTCAGAAATTGCTTTACGAAAGAGAACCAAATAAAGTAAATCTTTTTTTTATATACATTAGGAGTAGTGATTAACAATTTATTTTAAATTATAAGATTCAATTTTTTTTCTTTCTTTGTAGATAAAGTTGGTGATACCTAAAATACATTGGGCACAATGATATCCGCGCAACGCGCGTTTAAAAACTAGTTTATATATATGCATGTATTATATCCAAATGAATGTCGTCCCCCCATTTAAGCAATTTGTTCATCATCGATCGATCAATATTTGTGTGCACGGTGTAATATATAATCCATATATATAGGGGTGTGATTGGTCCGGTCTCGGTCGGGTTTTTGCTAAATCCGAAATTTACCCGGAAGGTTTCGGGTTATGAAAATTAGGGACCGGAACGTACAAAGCCCGTTATATTCGGTCCTAGTCGGGTTTTTTTAGCCCGGGTTCGGTTTGGGCCGGTTAAAGCCCGAACATGAAATATCTCATTGTTCTTTTATATTTTAACACCTATTTTCAAATAAAATTAATCAAAAATACAAACCGCAAATAATAACACAAATATTAGTCTCCAAAATCACCAACCATTCAAATCCAAAGAAGATAGTTATCTTAATATTTTATTTAATAAGCATATAAATAAATAATATAAGTTTCCTAAAAATACTACGAAATAAAATTTATAGATAAAAATGTGACTAGAGTTGCTATAAATATATTTTCATGGTCATTACACTAAACAAATTCAACATATTTGTAGTCAGTAAAAGTTACTAAATCATTTTTTATCCACCGTGATTATAATCATATAATAGGAATTATCTATAAATTTATATTCATATATTATATTAATTCTATATTAAAGCTAATTGTTTCGGGTTTTTATCGGTCTGGGCCGGGTTATAGATTTTAAGGCCCGTTAATGAGCCCGGAATGTCGGGTTCGGCCTTTTTTTTTAATTCGGGCCGGTTAAAAAGAAAAAACTCGGATCGGGATCATAATTCGGGTCGGTCCAGGGTCGGTTTATGGGTTTTGGTTCCGCCCGTTTTTCCCACGGTGGGAATCCCACCCTTATATATATATACACATTATTACATTAGATAATATTTTAGTTTGCTACTTTAATTTGATAGATTGTTTGCTAATGGCAGGCAGCTGGTCCATTTACGTACTATTTATTATCCCAATCAGTTCATATACATCAATTCAAGATATATTTGACCTCGTAAACTCGAGAAGTTGAAAAATTAGGATTGATATGATATATATAGCAAATGCATTGATATATGAAGTTGTTGCGGTTACACCAAAGTATCCGCGTCATATCATTAGTTTTTGGAAGACTTCTTATATAATTGCTGGAATTAACATGATAATCACCTCAAATATAGATAAAAATAAAAGAACTTAGGAGTATATATGAGTAAAAATGTTTATGTACTCTAAAGTATAATTTCCATATTTTTATTTCTTATATATGAGTAATTACTGTCACGTTTTTGCTGTATTAGACTTTAAACATTATACTACATAGTATTTTTCAACATGACAATAATTACTCCTATTTATGCAATAAAAATACGTCAATCCTATTTTGGAATTTTCAAGCGTTTCTATTTCTATTTCGAAAATATTTTCAAGTTTTATTCTTATAAGGCTATAATAGAACTTATTTTACTCTACTGAAAACATAAAAAAATCCAACTAAGCGTGAATAAATTCTATTTTATAAAAATAGCTTTACTAATGTTTATGCCTTTTGTCAATTTTACTGGATTTTTTCCAAATGTAAATTGAAAACATAAAAAAATCAATTAAGAGTGAATGAATTCTATTTTTAATTAAAAAACAGCTTTATTAATGTTTATGCCTTCCAAAGCAAATGGGCTGGCACTTCGGGCATTTTTCCCAACTTTTGCACATCATAAACACTGGGCCTTCTCAAGTCTTTGGGCCCCTAAATGACTAAATCTAGATCGACCACTCCTTAGATAGAATGTTTGTAAGAACTCTTTTTTTTGAACGAAAACTAACCTTTATTCGTATCATAAGTTTCAGGATCATTACATCAATCAAAGGAAAAACAAATCTGACATCAACTAGACTCCAACAAGTAAACCCTATGATGAGCCTTAGAAACGATCACCTCTGAAAGAGCAACATGAATCGCTAACCATGTAACGGGCTTGACACAGCCATCCCTATTCCCATAGATCCAAACATGCTCAATGACATCAAACAAGGCCAAATTCTCAAACAAATTGACAAACCTAACAATATAGACGATAACAAGAAACCAAATGACAAAATAATGAAAGCTTATTTGAAAACTTTTATGGACTCTAGCATCTCGCACAATCCATGGCGGTGGTTCGGGAGGAGGCCGTGTCCTTGGTACCACTCTAATTGGTCCTCCATTGTCAATCATCATTTGGCCTGCTCGAAATCCGTGCAACTCTTTTCGTCCCGCGCTCATAGCAAATCCACCGCTAGCGGTCATCTTCATCGTTGTCATGCCCTTGCTACCCTGCTCACGAAGAAATCGATCGCCGAACTCTGGCTTCGATGTCGTCAAGCTTGGCCAAGGATTCTTATCAATCTGCCTCAAATCCAATCCCAACGCCGGACACAAGTGAAGGGGATTCACCAGCCGGAAGAATCAAACCTTAGATCTGCTAAGGAAAAACCAAACCTTAGACCTGCTAGGGAGAGACCGTGGCTTGATATTAGCCAGGAACACTTAGAAAAACAAGAAAAAAGGTGGAATTGGATCAAAAGTACCAAAGAATAGCAAATCTATTCATTCGGCGGCCAGAAACCAAACCCCATTGACAATTCATTTGAATGTGCAGTTATCTTCAAGAATTCATTTGAATGCCTTCTCGATTGAAGTTTTAGCTGAAATTTGGTATGAGTAAACTAGACTTAATGAATAAGATGCTCAAAAAATTCATCAAAAAAATCCACCAGGAACTGCCCTAAATGACGACGGTCGGACAGAACCTCCTATATAATGACTTATTTGACCTTTTTATGTAAGTTCGAGGGCCTATTTGACCCTTTTCCATATCCCTTTAATCAATGATTTGCGGTTACAATCAACCAATAATTCGAAATCCAACCAACTATCATCTAACAATCTCAATTCTGACTTAAGAGAAGCCCTCCGATCACCTCCAAAGAAGCAACGCGAAAACGGGCAACTTAGAGTTTTCTGATCATTAAGGATTTAAGGTCGCAATACTCTTAACTACTTAAGGATTAATGAAAAAATTAAAGAAAACAACCATTTCCATAGATTACTATCATATGTTTGTTAATATTATTTTATGATTTTTTATTAAAATATCATTTAATTAAATTGAGGTTTAATAATTAATTAAATACCAAGTATTAATTAATTTTTATTTAAAATTAAGTTTAATAAAAATTAGGGAAAATGGAAACTAATAATCCAACCTTTTAGCGGTCTTCTTTCAATAATCCTACCTTTTGATTATTCATGAATAATCCAACCTTTGCACTCCATCTTCATTCATCGGTCCCTGGTCGGTTAATGACCTACTATTCCAAGTTATTTTTTTATCTTTGCAAAATATTATCTCTGTGAAAGATGAGATTTATTGTATAATGATTTGCAAAGATAAGAAAATAGCTTGGAATAGCAGGTCATCAACCGGTCAGGGACCAATGAATGAAGATGATGTGCAAAGGTTGGATTATTCATGAATAACCAAAAGGTTGGATTATTGTAAGAAGACCGCTAAAAGGTTGGATTATTAGTTTCCATTTTCCCTAAAAATTAGCAAACTCAAAATAGTCGAAAAGTTCTCTGATCAAACATCAACCAAAACAAAGCGAAGTTTTTGCTGAACATAGGACAACTTCGAGGCAAATCGTGACCATAAGAGCATCTTTAATGCTACACCTTTAACATTGATTAAATTTTGACACATGACAATCAATAAATGGAATAATCATCCACCTCATATTCCATTTACGTAGAAAGACATTGAAATCCAAAAAACATTTCCAATGGTTAATGTCATGCGTCCAAATTAAATGTCTTCCAGATGAATTTTAGGCGAGGTGGAATGAGAGTGGGGGTGTGGGACAATAATGTTTTTTAGGCGGTTAGTTTTTTTTATCGGTTGAATAATTATTATTTGCTCCAAATTGGCTGACCTAGCATGTAGAGGGCACTGTTATTATAGCACAGTGATGTTTACAGTGTCTACATCAAAATTTAACACGTCAGCAATTTATTCATCTACACAGCATGCGTTGGAGACCAAATTCTAGGCCGAATGTTAAATAAGGATGACTTGGCATATTTTTTAATGTCAACAATACGCCTATTGGAGATGCTCTAAGCACATAAAAACCCACTAACACTATCCAAACAAAAAACAAAGTAAAAGTATAAAGAAACGTAAATAAAGCTGGATAGTTACTTGACTAGATCTAGAAATTGAATATGATCAAATATACAATACTTGTTTATGTAAGTTGATGACCATCAAGGCATCAATCACGATTAAAATGAATAACTAAAAGGTATGCCAAAAAAGCCGGAATCGCTTGTGGCCACCCGAACACAGTGGACGGATTGTTACAACCAAGGTATTATCTTTTTTATAAACTGAAGTTTTCATTCTGTATATCCTAGCTCATGAATTAGTAACTGCTTCCAATTCCTATAAAAAAAGTGCCAATTGCAAAGGATTCCCACGGGACCAGAGATACGGCTGCGCCATATTGGCTCCGCCGCCTGCGTTCGTATTGCCACCACGGCTACTTCCTCCGCCAAACGGTTCTTCCTCGTCTTCGCTGCTTCCTCCGCCGAGCGGTTCTTCTTCGTCTTCGCTACTTCCTCCGCCAAGCGGTCCTTCTTCTTCTTCTCCGCCCAACTGAGCGACTACATACGTTGCCAGGAGGCATGCTATCAGTAACAAAAGAATTGCCTTCACAATCTGCCGGCGCCGCCGCATTATTCTCTGCTTCGCCTGTCTCAACTCTCTAGGGTAAACGAAAGGGTGATATCAAATCCGAGACGGGTCTGTGTGCTTATGTAGGTGGATCAGATGATCGAGTCCGGGACGAACTAGAATTAGTTCCAAACCAAATTAATCCTTGAATCGATGGACGGAAAACCAAAACCTAGAATTAATCCTTTTTTGCTGTAGAATTAATAAAAAAAAAAAACATAAGGAGTATTTTTAAAAGGTACGTAGTACGAAGTATTATTTGAGTCACGTGTGAAGAGTGAGTCGGTTGAATTGGGACGTTTTTATTTGGGTCATTTTCAGTTCTAAACGGTAGGGCTGAGCAAAACCCGATCCAACCCGAAAAACCCGATATTTTTTTCGGATATTATCCGAACCGAAATGGATATCCGACCCGAAAAACCCGAAACCGAAAATCCGATTAGTATTGGGCCTAGACCGGGTGGCGGGTAGGGTTTGTGAAATCCCAACCCGAACCGCCCAAATATACGAAATATATGTTAGTGTGTACTTTGAATATTTAAATTAATACTTGTGTTCAATTATTTGTTTAATTATTTGTGCAATTTGTATTAAATTATTTGTGTAAATTGAATGTGTAGTGCATAGAGTGTACAATTTTTGTCAAAGTGGCATTCCAACACTTCAATTATCTAATTATAATGCGTTTTAATATAACCAAAATATCCGAAATATATTAAATTATGTAGTGTGTACTTTGAGTATGTTAAATTAATACTTGTGTTCAATTATTTGTGTAATTATTTGTGCAATTTGTGTGAAACTATTTGTGTAATTTGGAAGTTTAGTGCACTAGTGTGTACAATTTTTGTCAAAGTGACATTTAAACAATTTAATTATCCAATTATATTTTTTTAATATAACCAAAATATCCAAAACCCGACCCGATATCCGGTAATATCCGATTTAAAAATATCCGAAATACCCGATTTGAAATATCAAAGGGTCGGGCCTAGCATTTAAATTAAAAAACCCGAACGGGTTTAGGATTCGCAAACCCAACCCGCCCGAACCCGACCCGTGCACACCCCTACTAAACGGGATCAAATTAGAACATGTTTTGATAGTTCTCACGGAATAAGACTCAAACTGGACACTATGGTTTCATCAGAATCTTATATTTGACATTAAGGTTTCAAATTGATCAAATTAGACACTGGTTTCATATGTATCTCATATTGGACACTAAAATTTCATAATTTAATATAAGTGAGTGTCCAATTTGATCTTTATCCAATATAAGTGAGTGTCCAATATTGAATTATGAAACTTTAGTGTCCAATATGAGATATATATGAAACCATAGTATCTAATTTGGTCCATTTGAAACCTTAGTGACCAATATGAGATTCTAATGAAACCGTCCAATTTGAGCTTTATCCCTTGATTAAATACTGGTTACGGTATGAAATGCACATAGGTCATTTTACATGTGTTTGTTGATGCACTTTCAAGAGTACAAAGATATGCAGCTTATGCAGTAGCAATGATGACCGGCTGAATTGGTCAAATGTCACCACACATTTTACTAAGATATATGATGCACTATTGGCACATTTAGAATCATGAGGTCTTAAAAATGACACTCTAAATTAGTTTGCACTTTATATGATTGATGATATTTAAACTAAAATAGATTAAAATAGGATAGGGCAAACTTAAACAGAAAATCATTCATATCATATTTGATCAAATCTAACTCGTTCATATTAAGGACATGTTTACTTCACCGGTTATTAAACGGTGCTTATTAAGACCCGTGTTAATAAGCGGCGCATAAAATAAACAATGTTGTAAGACCGTGTTTACTTCAAACGGTTTAAAACACCGCTTAACATTAAAATGTCCAAAATAACCCTATACATATATATACACACAAACATTCATGAACACAAGTATATAATATAATATGTGTACCCATACCCCTAACCCCTTACCCACCCTACCTTACCCCGACCCCACCCACCGCCTACCCTACCCCCTACCCCTACCCTACCTACCTGACCCCACCCTACCTACCCGACCCTACCCCTACCCGACCCCACCCTAACCTGTCCCCACCCTACCGCAAACCCTACCCCCGACCCCATAGGCCCCTACCCCCATAGGCCCTTACCACATCGACCCCACCCCGACCCCACCTTACTCTACCTTACCCCAACCCCGCCCCTACCCCTACCCCTACCCCACCACACCTACCCTGCCCCTAGCGCCTCTATCACATCGGTCCCACCCTGACCCCACCACCCTAGGTATAGTGGGGTAGGTGGGGTAAGGGTAGGGGTGGGGTCGGGGTAAGGGTAGTGTAGGTGGGGTAAGGGTAGGGTAGGGGGTGTCAGGTAATGGGGTAGGGTAGGGGTAAGGTGGGGTACGTGTAGGGTGGGGTCGGACAGGTAAGGTAGGGGTAGGGTGGGGTCGGGGTAGTGGTAGGGGGTCGGGTAGGTAAGGGTAGGGTGGGGTCAGTTAGGTAGGGTAGGGGTGGGGTCGGGGTGGGGTAGGGTAGGTGGGGTCAGGGTAGGTGGGGTAAGGGTAGGGAGGGGTCGGGGTAGGTGGGGTTGGGGTCGAGGTGGGGCAGGGATAACAATAGGTTAAGGGCAAGGGGTAAATTCGGAAACTGAAAAAGCTTAAAATGCCGCTTAATTAATACATGGGGGGTGGTATGCTTAATAAGCGGCACTTTAAGCACTTCTTTCGGTTAGTAAGCGGCTTTTTAAGCAGTGTGCGTGTTTATTTCACCTGTCTTACTAACCTAACTGTGACTTTAGCAGTGAAGTAAACACCTCCTAAGTAATGAGTATTGGACACTGTGATCCAGATGACACAAGTCAAGGTCCTCACATTTCAGGAGCATAGTCAGGGGTGAAGTTTGGAGTGGGCCAATTAAAAAAATGATATAAATTTTTACACATAGATTTTTAAACTAAAAATACAAAAAAAGATTGAGGTGGGCTAGGCCCCGGTTAATTGGCCCCCACGCTAGATCTGTCACTGCTCACATCAACATTTTGATTTTAATGGTTCATTTACTATTGGGTTTATATATTACGGTGAACTCAAGAGCGGAATTGAAGAGGTTCTTATTAAGCAATAACGAACTTTGAGAGTAGTTCCTTATTAGTTAATTAAGAGAATTTAAATGCTTGAATAGTTGAATATATTAAGAATTCATGGTATTTTTTCATGAAAAGAACTTGTGAGTTAAGATATACATTTCGTGACGGACTTGAATAGTTGTGCACAATTCTACGAAGGTGTGGTTGCCTTCTAGAGAATTAGTCGGAGCTTAAGTGGGACACTTGCTTGATAAAAAAAAAGACGAAATTAACACTAGTAATCCCTACTATTATACAATTAATGAAAATATAATCGAGTCTTTTCCTTAAATATTGTTGCAATAAAGATTACGTAGAATGCAACTAAAGTGACTATTAGTATAATCTCATAATCATTAGAGTGTAAATCCCATTACAATTATAGTTAGTGAATATAATGTTACAAATGTATTGAGTGCATATAACTTATCATATTTTATCGATATCATTTATACTGGGTTGTTCAATTGGCATCTTATTATTTAATTGACTAACAAACTATTGAAATTTTAACTAATAATTAATTACGGAAAAGTGTCCATATAGCTTGTACATACTGATATTACTAAATATTTTGGTATATTGCGGGATGCAGAAATTGCTATCCCAAGATATTACTAACATTTTACTCATATTTTATCAAAAACTAACTTTTTTTAATAAGAAGCTCCATGCCTAGACAAGATAGTCTTATTCCATAGTGGCCGAGTAATTCTAATTAAGCATGTTTTATCTGCTATTCCTATAACACTCTTACTATTTCCTATAAAATGACCTCATTCTTTTGGGGTTTTCTTGTGAACGTAACCTAGCTAGAAAGTTTCATTGAAAAAATTGGAGATAGCTTTGCTAGTTATCCTTTTGATGAAAAGGGTTTAGGGATAAGACCTATCAGTGAGATTCAATTAGCAAGCCTTACTTTTTAAAATTTTGGTGATCTTGGATGCAGAATAATACATTTTGCATTGATTCCATTTATGCTAGTTACAACATAAATGAAGGTGTGGAACCTAAATTACCTGATTTTGCAGTTAGGAAACGCCTTGGTGGCATTCACTCCCAAGACGTGGAATTGATTGAAATTTTACACTAGCATATGCTTTTCAAGTCATAAGAGACACTCGATCAGTCTGTTACATTTTCTTTCTCTCATGTATTACATCTCAACATGTTTCTACCAATCAAGCTTTTTGTGTGGAAGTTGTTTCATAATATACTCCTATCCCTAACAATCTAGGGGGATTTAACATCTATACCTACTCACCTCAATGTCCTTTCTGCATGAATGATTAAATTTCTGTCAATCACACTTTTTATCAAAGCCCTTTGATCTCGCAAATATGGAGGCACTATGCGGGCATATACATGATCCATATTCCCTCATGGTCTATGTCCTATAGATGGGATTGTTTTTTCTCGATGGATGGAAGATGGCTCAAAGATCTTAATCGACGTTTTGAAACTTGTGCTTCCTATGATCATAATATGGCATGTATGGAAAGTATTTTCACCCTATACTTGCGTTGTATATTTCAATCCCAATTCACTAATTAATTCTTTTAGAAGATATATCTATCAATGATATATGAGCTTAACACTTTATAATCTCTATTCCCACCTGATATTCTTCTAAAAGAGAGTCTTTTCCACATAATTGACAGATTCAGAGACCTAACTTTCTTATAATTATTTGGGAAAGGTCAGAGAACACTTACAAACTGAATGTAGATGTTGCCTTTTCACCACCCAATCAATTCCATTGGAAACACTATTTTTAGGGATGTCGGATGCAAGTTTCTTTTATCAGCATCTTCCCTATTGAGGCTCATTCCGTCTTGGAAGCTTAAATGAACACCATCTTTGTGGCCGTTAACTGGGTTATGAAGTTGGCTATTCC